CATCCGCGACGCCGTCTCGCAGGTGCTCAAGGGCTACGACTGGAGCCTGGTGCCGATGCCCGTCCGCGGCAACGGATCGCTCAAGGCCAAGCCGCACGTCAAGCGGCCCATGAACGCCTTCATGGTGTGGGCGCAGGCCGCCCGCAGGAAGCTGGCGGACCAGTACCCGCATCTGCACAACGCCGAGCTCAGCAAGACCCTGGGCAAGCTCTGGCGGTGAGTCCCGCACCGCGCGGATCCTCCTGCGCGGGGCTGCGCGGCTGGACTCCCCCTCCCAGCGCTTCTTTACAGCTTCTGCCCGCTTTGTTTTTATTATTCTCTGTTTCTCGGCGTTCCCGGAGCGATTCCAAGTGAAGTACGATCCCCTCCCCGGGCATCCTGCGAAGGACAGAGGGGTTCCTGCTCCGAAAAATCCCCCCGAGCAGGGGCTTGGGCACCCTCGCTCCTGGCACGGGTGGATTTTCCCTGCTCCATCACGGAGATGCACAACCCTTCCCTTGCCCGCGGCTTCCCCCATCCCCACGCGATGAGACTTTTTTTAATGACTTGTTTTATGGCTTTTCCTAATTTTCTCTTTTTATTTTTTTTTTTTTCCCTTTTGGCTCGCTTGATGCTTAACAAGCTATAAACGCAGCTAAACTCATTTTTAGCAGTTATTTTAACGAGCTTCCTAATTTCCCTGCTTATCTGCTCAGTGCTGCCTGGGGATGCAAACTTTTATTTGCTGGGCGGCATCCGAGCCCGCTTTGCTTTCCAAGTCTCTTCCCCGAGCCACGTTTTTCCGTGTGGTTTATCCCATGGTGTCTGCCTGTACCTAATTCCCATCTTTCCTGCCTGCTCGGGCCAGCGATGCTCCCGCTGCGGTCTGAGCCTCTCCAAAAGTTTGCAAAGAGAGGTGTGGGCAGGGGAGGAGAGAGTTTGGAAAGCAATAATCCCATCCCTGGTGCCTTGGTGGTTTCTTTGTAAGCACCAAACAAAGCTGGAAATGTTTGTGGCGGTGAGGGGGTGGCATTTGCAGGGCAAACATGGGAATTAGAGTTTGAAATTGTGTTGGAAATGGGGAAGGGGGAATTTTGCTTTGCTCAGTTACCCCTGTCTGTAGTGGTCGGGTTTTTCGTGCTGCTCTAATATTGGTATTTTGATCCTTTTTTTTTTTTTTTTCTGTGGATTTTAACTCCTTTTTACCACAGCAAATTAATTTTGTTAACTTGGTGAGTGCTCAGATCCATTCATGGGAAGTGGGGATGTGCCAGCTTAAAAACAAGAAGAAAACTTCTAAGGGAAAGATCCTAATTTTGGAATATCTTTTTCTCTCTCTTCCTTATTAAAACAACCAACCCCCTCCCCAACAAAAAAACCCACCCCACAAAATCAGTTTATTGAGCGAGAACGAGAAACGTCCCTTTGTGGAGGAAGCCGAGCGGCTCAGGGTGCAGCACAAAAAGGATCACCCGGATTACAAATACCAGCCCCGGAGGAGGAAAAGCGTCAAAGCCGGGCAGAGCGACTCGGACTCGGGAGCTGAGCTCAGCCACCACGCCAGCACTCAGCTCTACAAGGCCGACACGGGGCTGGGGGGCATGGCCGACTCCCACCACCACGGGGACCACACAGGTAAAGCATTCCCGCTGTGGGAATTCCCTCGGGGTGGGATGGGATCCCACCGCGGAGAGCCAACGGCAGCAGCTCTGCAGTTTTCCTTAGCGAGTGCTCTTGGAGCTGCCCGTGCCATAGGGAATCCCAAAGCACCGGGATCCCGCTCTCCAGGATGGGGAGAATGAGTGATGGGTTAATAGGGGTGCCTGGGGAGCAGGGTACCGGGACAGAGCTTCCCAGCACCAGAAATCGGCGCAAGGGGCGCGCTGACAGATTCTGGGAGCGTTGGGAATGTCCTGCAGCCCCAGCCATGGCTGGGATCATGGCCCTGGGTCCCTCAGGGGGGAGGATGAGCTCCATCGTGGGCTGCACTCTGAATCCACCCCCTGGTTCTGCTGTCAGGGGGTCCTGCTGTGTCCCAGGGTGATCCTGATGGGCTCCCAGATAATTCCATCTGCTGTGTGTGAGGCTCGTCCCAGGAGGCACCTGGGGCTTCAGGGGGCCATCGCCCATTCCACAGGTTCAAACGCCCGATAGGAGCGATAGCAGATAGGTGCATTTATTGAATGGCGAGGGAGTTGGCTGTTCTGTGCTCACTGCTGAAGCCTCGCTTGTCCCTTCATCCCCAGGCCAGCCCCACGGACCCCCCACGCCGCCCACCACCCCCAAAACCGACCTGCACCACGGCAGCAAGCAGGAGCTGAAGCACGAGGGCCGGCGCCTGGTGGAGAGCGGCCGCCAGAACATCGACTTCAGCAACGTGGACATCTCAGAGCTGAGCAGCGAGGTCATCAACAACATGGAGACCTTCGACGTGCACGAGTTCGACCAGTACCTGCCCCTGAACGGGCACGCAGCG